TTTGTTATTTATGTACACTTGATATGATCATATATATATATATTATGTTAATTCAATTCTGTACTCAATTTGGTATGAAAGAGATCCTAGGAAAGTGAGATGTAATTTAATTTTAAATTTATTTTCGCTACGTTTTATTTATATTTGATGCATGATCAGCCCTCACCTAACAACATTGTCCAAATGTATTGATACATTACCTCAATGTATCGATACATTTATTTGAAATTAGGCAAATGTATCGATACATTGCCAAATGTATTGACACATCAGAGAGAAATGGTAAAGATAAAAAAAGGTTTTAGGCCATTCCACGCTATTCTCTCTCTCAGCCCTCTCTCTCATTCTCTCTCTACCTTATACGAAAACCTAAGCCCCAAAATGCCATTTGGAGCCCATTTGGGCTAGATCCAAGCTTAGGAAATGATCTGGAGTAAGATTATGTATTTTTACCGATTAATTTCAATTTAATTGGTTAGAAACCTCAGATCTAGATTTTTTCAAATTTAGCCAAATTCTCTCTCCTTGAGTTTATTGGAGATTTGGAGCCTAGATTTAGGCAACCCAACTTCTAAGGTAAGGATTTAGCTCATTTGTTGCAAGACTGAGCTTATATATGGAATTTTGGTATTTTTGAAAAGTTAGGATATTTTCGAAAGTTAGAAAATAATTATGATTTTGATGTTTTGATGTGTCTAAAGGGAGAATGGAGGCTATTGATGCATTTGTGAGCTAAAGGACGATTGGAGGTTAAGAATTAGATCTCAACTATGGGCACGCCTTTGATTGTCAAGGTGAGTGGGATTTAAGTTAAATGCACATAATGCATAACGCATGATAAGTGCACTGCCACGGTATAAGGATAAAAGATGCATGCCTAGACGGAGGAACCTAGGCTAGAAAACTATATATCTGTGTATAAGGTATGTTTGAATAATGATGCCTAGGCTAAAGAATTAATGTGTATGTATATATCTATGTGTGTGTGTGTGTGTGTGTATATGTTTGCCAAGAGGTATGTGCTTGGCCTAAAGAACAATTATGATTGTGTGCCTAAATTAGGATGCCTAGGCTAATTTGTTACCTAGAATAGGAAATTTGTGAATGTGTGATTTGTGGTGAGCCACATGGTGGCATTGTGTTGGAACCCATGGTATGTAGGACCTAGGGCAAAAGGCTTACCATGGTGTAATACAAATTATGAATTGAAGACTGTGCTAAATTCTAATAAATGGACTGCCCAATTAGGTATATAGGCATGATGTGTATTTAAGGTTAATGGCACATCGATTAAGTGATACTGAATATGTGGGACTAAAAAGCCATGATTGCTTATAGACATGATCTATGTGAGAATGCCCACGTATTTGTGGTTGATTGAGAATAAGTATGAGGCTATTAAACCATGATTGATTTGATTGAATATGATGAGTACCCATGTGGAGTTAAAGGCATGAAGGCCCATAGCTTTATTATGTTTCAATTAGTGATGCCTTAGAAGTTTGAAGGCACCTAGAATTATACCGAGCTTAGAAATGACTAAAGCTCCATGAATTTGAATGTGATTTGATGTGGACATATGGAATGTCACAAGCAAAATGTCTGATTTATGGTTATGTGTTCCATTTGAGAAATGAATTCTGGACGTTGATTTACCTTAAGATAGAGTAGAGTCGCACTCCTTGTGAATTGTGTGCTTGTAGGGATAGTGGTAAGTAAGGACGATGGCATTAATCTTGCTTGTGATTTCCACCTGTAATGCTTCGATATCATCTGTTGAGATTACTCCAGGTGATGCCGACGTTAAGAGATTAATCTGATCGATGATATGATTATCCAACAACTTCTTCGGCACTGTGCATGATCTATTCTTCATTTGCTACTCCAGTACTGTGTGTGATCTATTTTTTGCCCATTGCTTCAGCACATGCATGATCTGTTTCTCTGCCAGCGGCTTTGCCCTCAGTATGATTTGATTCTCCACCGATTAGCCATTAAGCATGATTTGAATGTATCCAAGGTAAAACCACTCATTTGGTTTCATTTGACTATGATGACATGCATTGGGTATGGCATGAATTGATTTAAATATGAAATTGTGGTGACAAATTGTGAATGATATTTGAGGTTTTCCTTGGCAACAAATATGTGCCTAAAAAGCTTAGTTTGATGGTGACGACTTTAAAGATAAGTCTTGAATTGATATATGTAATTTGTGGTATATTGTGGATATAATACGCCATTGTGATGTGATCCGACAAGATTTGATATTATGAGTTGTGCATGCAAGATACTAAAATGATCCTTGTAATTTTTGAGTTGGAGATATTTGAATATGAATATATTATGGCTAGATACGCTTAAATATATAACATATATGTGAAATATTATGTTGTGATAGCATCCCCTCATTGAGTATTAGATGACTCATCCTTCTGTTGTACCATGTGCAGATAAGAGAAGCTATGGGGTTACGTGGCAAGTGTAGTCAATTGGACGGACATTTTATTGGCATCCGGTAGGTCTCCCTCCCAAAGTGTCACTCTACTAAATATGTGAGTGCCTTCCACCTTCTAGTTTGATTAGTCAGTGAAATATGTGAGGCACGACGTAGCATATATGTACGAACTCAATTTAATGGCCAATGTATGGCCTTATGTATAATTGTATGGATTGTGAGCTAGGGATAATATAATATATTTGAAATTTTTATGCATATTTGATTATAAATCCCTCGGCACTTGAGTTATATGATATTGGATTCTAAGGCTTGCTCAAGTTTAGTGGCTTGCCTACTAAGCTCGTGCATCGATCACGGATTGGGCCTCGCGATGCTGTGCACTTCTAATAATTTTTTTCCAAAGTCTTCCTTTGGGCGTCGTGGTGCTGGGTGCTTGGTCGCTACGGCATTAAGGCACATATGTGCCATAAGGCATCCTTCTCAAATAGGGCACTACGGCATTGGTCCCATGGTGGCCATGACGCTCAAAGTTTTATATTGCTCATTCAGACTCTACTACACTACTTTGACTTCAATATAATTTTTGACCATCTTATAGGCTGCACTAGAAAAATTGATAAACATAAAAGTTGTAACTTAGCTTTCCAGTAGTTTAAAAATCACATCAATTGGACTTCTATTGTGAATGATATGCTTAAAATATTGCAATATATACAGTTGAAGTCTTCACCTAAAATGAATCTTTTTCACTAAATAGGCTCTTTTTTCAAAGCACACCTATAAAAACATAAAACAAAACTTAAATAATAACTAAACTTGGAATAAAACATCATAAAATAACTTAACACAATTGAACCCAATATAATTAAATTAAATTAATAGCTAAAAACTCCTAATATTTAAATTAAATTTCAAAAACTTAGACAAAATATATTGAAAATTATTAAGACCAAATAACTCTATAAAATAGAGTTATCACACACCAAAAAAAGCAACAAAGTAACTTAAATAATAACTAAACTTAAAGCAAAATATCATAAATTAACTTAAAAGCATTTGAACCCAATATAATTTACTAAAATAAAATAAATAAATAAAATAACTAATTTCTATCTTAATTTGTAAGAATTTAGTCAATTTAATAGTCAGAATGTGACCAAATAAGTCTGAAATAGAGTTATCAACTATATGTATTGATTGGCTTGACAGGCATACAACTGTATTATCAATTTTTTCTTAACTCTAGAGACTTTATTCTTTAGATATTCTTTCTTAGACTTGTGTGGGAGTTTTGAAGACTTTGTTTTTCACAATCTTCTTCTTTCCCAATTGGGTGTCAAATGATTTGGAAGAGTATTGTGTTTATAGTGCCTCGATCAGAGATTTCTATAAGAATTTAATTTCTTTGATTTATCTTTAAATTATTTTAATTTAATTAGAGATAAAATATGATGACTCGTACATAGTTTTTTGATTGATCAAGCTCTGAGTCCTTGAATTTTAATTGGTCGAACTTGAGTTTTATCTTTAAATTATTTTAATTTATTTAGAAGTAAATTGGATGACTAAATTTGGATTTTATCTCCAAATTATCTTAATTTATTTTAGAGATAAATTGGATAACTTATAGATAAATTTCAATGGACCAAATTTAGGCATTATCTTTAAATTATTTTAATTTATTTAGAGATAAAATGAGTCATTAAAATTCAATTGATCAAATCATGTGTATTTATCTTAAGCTAGTCAATAAATTTATTGTTTTACAATTCATTATATGGTTAGTTAAAATTATGTAACCAAATTCAATTTATGGTCTATGATTAATCTTTAGTTTTGGGAGTCATATAACGTCTGGTAATGGGATAACATTTTTCTCCCTTGTATAGAGATGTTAGCCATTTGATAAAACAATCACCTGCGACTATAAGATTCGTCGAAACTATTGTTTTCGTTCCTCAGCTGAAATGATCTGAACCCAGCGGGAGACTATTACTTTTGCCATTCTTTTTACTTGTAATTTAACTTTTTATACGACATGGATAAGGCAAAATAGATTGGCTCTTTTGAGGATTTAACACGTTGGAGCTGGAACTCATGCCAAGTCAAGTTCAAATAAATTAAAATATCGTTCGTGCAAGAAAATAGAAAACTAAACTCTTGCAAATAAACAGCCACAGACAGGTCGATTAATGTTCACTTGTCTTCTGTCTATGTTCTTCAGATTTTACTCTTTGGACATTTTAAACTAAAGAACGAGTTCTCCAGCTCCCCTTCCCTGCATGTATTGCATTGAAATGTAAGAAAAGGATAAGAGGATGAGTTTGGCCATGGCCATAAAATATGATAATGCGATGTCGAATCTTAAATCTTGGAAATTGGTATTGGCTAGGAGCAACTTTCAATCCTCGTATATTTGCTGCTTCCCCTTTTGTATTTTGGCGCACAAGTCACAACAAGTTGTTTTCTTAATTAACTCACGAAAGGTAAGGGAACCTTCCTACTAAATTTCCACTTCATTTGTGTCCCGTGACATGTTCACAAAGCTAGCACACTCTCTGTCTCTCAGCCATTAGAGTCCAGATTTCCAAGCAATGAGTTACCACCATCAACATATTTTCCACGAGCCGCAACCCGCATCAGGTAAATGACCACCAGAAGGATTGGTTTGTAACATTCCGTTGTTCGTTACTTTCTTTTTCTTTTTCTTTTATTCTATTTGAATAGTATTTTCTTGGATTGAATGACTTATTGCTTCAGGGTGGCTGAATTCTTCCTGTTTTACTAATCATGAACCGCAAGTAGTGCAAGAAATCAACTTGTATGAACAGAGGTGGAACATGAGTAGTGATTGTTAATGAGAATATCTAACTGATTGTTGTAATGCAAAACAGGGCACTCACCTCCATACCCTCCACCAGGCATCCCTCCACCGCCCCCACCACTTGGATATACTCATACTCATCATTCTCCCTCACCATCAACTCTACCTGGATATCAAGGTTACTTTCATGAAGGCTACACTCCATCATCACCTCCGCCGCCTCCTCCACCGCTGCCTACTAGGAATGACTACCATCACAATGGTTGCTCTTCCTTCCTAACGGGGTGGTACGGATCTCCCTCTCTATGCTACTCGGCCTTAAATTCTTTACAATATATTACTGGTATTACAGAAGTTTTGCAATCCCGTGGCAGGATATAGAGCCAGGCAATTTCATTTGGATGTAGTTTATATTCTTATTTAAATGTCATATCTGTTAGCTAATCATGAGAAACTTATTCTATAACATAATCGTGCCTCTGTAGGTATTGTTTCGTAGGCATTTCCCAAGAACGTTTTCATGAACAATCTTACATGTGATTAGCAAGCCAAAAATCGCATTTAGCTAATTGTGCCAATAAGAAGCTTCACTCTACCATTAACCCCATTAGCCTTCTTTCTGGTGGTTCACTTATGACGGTATGCATTCCTTCATAACAGAAAATACCTAGGCTCCGAAAAATGAGACTCGGCGTATTTAGTAATGACTCCGATGTTTGGTTTCTAAGATTTTGGGCAGAGTCTAGTGAGTCCGAAGAAGAAGCCTACGGATCGATAATTTGATAGATAATTGACCTTTTTTGGTACATTTGGGAAGTACATAGAGAGCAGAATTCTAACTTTGAACTTCAACAATTGTAAAAAAGATAAATTTTACATTGAAGCGAACCTAATGAAAAGATAATTCGAAAATAAATTTATCATGAAAGACCTTATGTCTAGATGTTTGGCTTGGTACATATGTCGTCTATCTCAAAGATTTGGGTTCAAATCCCCATTCTCCTCAGATTATTGCTTAAAGAGACAACCTTAGTAGACATTGAAATAATTAACATTCACTTTACCAAGAAAAAATTAAATATTCAGTCAGGCTAGGCAAAATCAACCAAAAAGAAAAGTGAAATTCACCGATGAACCTTAAGCATAATCTCATCCTGAATCCTGAATCTCAGTAAAATAAAGGCTGATGGAATTTCTTCCCCTCCATTTATTTGTCTCCTTATAATTCCACACTGTTTATATTTGCAGTTTGGCAGCTCTTTGTTGCTGCTGCTTGTTGGAGGACTGCTTCTTTTAAGCCACTATCTGTCCAGCTTGGAAATTATGATTATGGTAGTCAGTCCACTTGGTGGAATTAGATTTTACTTCGAAACTTTTACTTTTGTATGAAATTTCTATGAGTAACCTATGAGCTTCATCACGTTATTATTTATGAGCTTCAGAACTGGCAAGCCTATATATTTTGCTAATACAATTCAATACCCTGCTGAGCCTTCTAGCCAATCACGTTTCAGTTTGACAAGGCAATGATCTGTAAGTAGTTTCTGCAGATTTTCTTGGACTAACCGAGAATTGCAACATATTACTAGCCACCACAAAAGGTAGGATAATCTGGGCAGAGTTTCACAGCTGTTTATGGGAAGAAAACAATTCACTGTGGATTTCAAGTTAGGACTTTGAAGGACTCAATAAGTGGATGAAAACCAAAGAAAGTACTGCAAACCTTATGAATTCACATTGAGAGTGCTCTCTGAGTATCCCATGTGCATTTGCATTATGTTCCCTTTTGTCCGAACCTCCCCAACCCTTTTCCTTCTCTACTGGAAGTATTACCATCATTATTACTTCCTCTTTACACCTTCTGCACCACCATCACAAGATTTTGTTTCTTTCACTTCCATGCTTGAGAAGCAGAGACTTCTTGCTTGGCTTGAATCGTTATGTTCAACTTACGGTGTCTCAGAGTGTACGTTATTGATAATTTTGACTGCATCCACGAAATCAGGGAGAAGGTGCGTGCAAGTCGAAGATTTTGAAGGCAAGTTGGAGGATGTCAAGTTAAACTTCACTGGGTTATGAGTTAGGACTGATCCAAAAGAATGGTATATCCCACTATCATTAAAAGCTTGCTTGGGCAGAGCAGTTGGAAGGAACAGATGATTACACTGGCAACCAGGGGCGGAGCCTCCTCTAGCTTGTACGCCCCAAAATTTGAAAAAAAAAAAAATTTATACCTTATAAATTTTGTAAAATTTTTAATATAATCTCTTAATAGGTCTCTTTAAAATAATTTTTTATTTAATAATTAATACAAATAATGAATAATAAAAATTATCACATATGCTTCACTTAATTTTAAATTTTTTTATTTTTTTAATTTATATTATTATTTTTATTTATATTTGTTTATACTATCTATTTATATGTTTTAAATTTTTATAGATTTTCTTTTTTAAATTTTTACGAACCATCAGTCTTTTTTTTTTTATTATGTCATATATGGGTTTCATTTTTTACTTGCCATGTTTTTTTTTCCTATTATGTGAATTTTTTTTATAATTTTAATCTTTAAATATTAATAAATTTATATAATTCTTAAATATAAATCATAATATTGCACTGTTTTTTAAAATTTCATTAATATATCATTTTTTATTAATTCTGTTTATGTGAGAGGAATTTATTTTGAATATATCTTTTATATATATTTTATATTTTATATTTAGTTGAAAGGAAATTATTTTGAATATATAATCTTTAAACAAACCTAATTATATAAGAGAAAATTATTAATCCTGTATATTATATTTAGTTATCTATATTTTATATATTATAGTATTATATTTCGTATTATAAGTTTAAATAGAATAAAATAAGAATATTAGAGATTGACTATATTAATTTTTTTTTTAAGTTTGATTAAAGTATGAATAAGTTGAAAACAATTAACAAATTCTTTAAAATATATATATATATATATATATGGTTTAAATGATTCTCTTATATTTGACCCATTAAACCTCAATGTTTCTACTCAAGAATAAAAATAATGTAAATTAAAATATCCAATACTTAATCTCAAAAAATTAAAAATATTTTTCAATACATAATAAAAAATTAATAAATTTGAATTCAAAAAATCGAGCACAACTTTTTTAGAAAATTATTATAAATTTTTTCTTTCTTAACTTACATAGTTTATAAAATTATATTTTATTGTCAATTCTAGATTAATAATTAAATTTAATATATTAATTTTTAAAATTTTTAACTCCTAATGGTTTGTCTTTAGCCCCACCTCTGCTGGCAACTTACGCAAAGCCAGAAAAGGAATTTTCACCTTATCAAGAATGATACAAATATTTCAGAAGAATTAAGACAATAAACCTCCTGAAATTCAGATGACAGGATGAAAGAACAAAAGGAAGACTATCTTAAGACATTGCTAAAAATACTTGTACGCATAAATTATGAATCATTTTGACACATTTTTTTTCTTCTCACACGTAAATCAGTCACATTTAGTTTTACAAATTTCACTTACATGAAGAACGTTGGGAATAAGCCTTAACTAGCACCGGCCCCTTTCTGCCTGTTTATTTCTTTCTCCCTCTACCTCTCTTTTCTTTCCTTTTTCTCTTTTTTCCTATACCCTCCACGTGGCTTCAATGTCAGTTCTTTTGCCTCGCGAGACAATCAAAAGAAGAAAAACCATACTTAGTTCTTTTCAAGTTATCCGCACTATCTCCTATTTAGTCATATACGATCTCAAAACATTAGTGCTTTCTTTTCTTTTCTTTTCCAATACAAGAAGAAAATAGTAAAGGATAAACCTGTCAATATGAACTAGCCCCGTTCAGCTCAACCTAAGTTATTGTGGGTTAAAAAAATATAGATTGAGTTGGGTCAGCTTGTTTTTTAAATAGATTGTCAAAATCTTAACTTAGCCCATCCCTTGCCAGCCAATGGGTTGAACTGAGCCAGCTCTTTTTTTTTTCAAAAAAAATTATTTTTACAAATTTACCTAACAAACTCCTTATCAATAAATTGTTTCATAATTTAATTTATGAATTGAATAATAAAAACATGTTAAAATAAATAAATTACACCAAACATAAATAAGAAAATAAATTACATTAAACATAAATAAAGTTTCAATCATTAACATAAACTACAATCCCATTAACATAAGTACATAACTAAATAAATAGAAACTTCAAGATTCATTTATATCCTCATCAATCCTCATCTTCAAATAAAAGATTTGAATCTTATTTGGACAGCAATGATGTCTCAAGGTCTTAATCATTATCATCTAATATCCATTGTCATAAAAGAAAAAAAGATAGTGAGTTTCAATCTTAACTAAAATTATTAATTTAATAAGTAAAAATTAAATATATTAGAATGTATAAAATAAATAATACCATCGGTAGCTAAAGAAAAGTCATGTAACCAATATTTTGTGCAACCAAGCATTTGAACATTTTCATGGCAGATGGAACTTTTAAACTTGGTAAGAACATGGCCACCAATATTAAAAGCTAACTCTGATGCTACTACAGTAATCGAAATGCTCAACACATCTCGTGCCATAATAGAAAGATTAAGAAAGCGCTTAGTATTGTTCTTTCAATAACTAAGCACATCCAAGTCTTCAAACACTTCATAATCAAGCTTTGCCTCCTTTAAATAAACATCCAACTCAGACTTTCCAACAATAGAAATTGTTTCATTTTGAAATATTTTGAACTCCTACAATTTTTAAACACATAGACAAGAAAAAAGCAATTATCAAAACATAAGTAAAGCAACCTAAATTCTCATGTAATAAAATGTTAGAAAGACATAAAACTTACACTAAAGATCTTTGATCCTTTAGGTTTAGTTCCCCCTTCGGTTTATTTAAGCAAATTACTCATTGAGTGAAAAGAAATACTTAATGATGCACAAATATTGCTTGCATATTCTTCAAAGAGCTTGTACAACTTTGTCTTCATATTTTCTAACTTTCCATGACAAGTAAAAGTGTTAATCTTAGAATAGCAAAATTTTAAGAAATCAAGCTTCAACCTAACATCCGAGTATTTGGCTCTTTGGTTAGTGCATGATCCTCCTGTCTAAAAAGTAGGGTTCGAATCCTCCCTCTTTAATTATAAAAAAAAAATTAGGTCAAAAATAGCTCCAAATGCAAGCATTACACTATAATCCTTTCGATATTTGTCAAATTTCATTTTCATCCCTTTAGGCATATCTTTGATAACCTCATCTTCACTATGCAAATTCTCATTTAAAATGGATTCAATTTTCGAAACTTGCATGAAATACAAGTTAAAAGTTGCATAAAATGAACCAGATATCAAGTTTGTGGTCTCATAAAAGAGCTCAAAGAATTCACAAATTATCATTGCTCTCCCTCATTCCTTATATGATGGATTATATTTATAACTTCTATCAACAAATTAGATATTAGCAAAAGCTTTTTGATATTTGATTATACTTTCAAGCATCAAATATGTTGAATTCCATCTAGTTGACACATCTAAATGCAACTTAACACCTACATCAATCTCAACTTTTTGAATGCATTCTTGAAACTTTTTCATCCTCCCATCCTATGCCTTTACATATTTCACACTCTCTTTAACTTTAAATAATGCTTCATTGACTACTTTCAAGCCCTCTTCAATAATAAATTTTAATATATGAGTATAACAATGCACATGAAAAAATTTACCATTACAAATCAAGCTATTTTGCAAATGAAGGTGGCCTTTCAAGGGAGCTTGCATGTTATCATTAGCAGAAGCATTATCTAAAGTAAAGGAGAAAACTTGTTTATCTATTCCCCATTCTTTCAAACAATCAAACACAGTGGCAACTAATTCAACTCCAGTGTGTGGAGGAGACATACGACAAAAGTTAAGTAACTTGTTACATAACTTCCAATATTCATTGATAAAGTGAGCAGTCAAACAAATAAAACTCTCAAAAGTAGATGATGTCCATATATCAGAAGTTAAACAAATTCTATTAGGTACCTTGACCATAACTTGTTTAAGTTTCTTTTTCTCTCTCAAATGAATCCTCCAAACATCAGATACAATAGTGTTTGTAGAATGCATCACCACATCTGGATTTACATATTGATCTCAAGCACTAATCTTATCATATTCAACAAAAACAAAAGGCAAGTCATGCTTAATTGTAGCTTCAGCAAGCATGTCACATGAAATCCTAAGATCAAATTTTCTAACCTTTACTTTCCCTTCATGATCCATAAGCATTTGATGTTGATTAAAATATGAAATAAATTTACAAGTACCAATGTGACAATGCAAATGTAAAGTACCATTATTAGAGCCATCGAGTTTAGGACCAACCTTTTACTCCATTTTACAACCATTACAAGTTTTCCTTTCTACTCTATCTTGCTTTTTGCCTATTCTAGTGAAATAACTTCAAACATTTGAAGTTTCTTTTTTTGCCCTCTTACTCAATTGTTCAAGTTCAGATATATGCGATTGTGAGGGAATATCATCCTTATTCAAAATTTTCACATCATCATCCAAATTTACATAATTTTCAACTGATTTATCCATCATCATTACCTTCAAATAACATAAACATGAAAAATAAATATTAAAAATTTACACCAATGAACAACAATATTTATTGATATATGATTAAATAAAATATAAATAAAATAAACAATGAGAGAAAAGAATAGTATTTAAAAGTGGGTCCAAATATTTACAGATTGGGAGGCCTAAATTAAAATAAAGCATTTCCCCCATCTCTATCTTTATGGGTAAGGACATGTTGTGAAAGAAATAAAAAAGATTGCAAAAACTCTACAATTCAAGTGGAAATTAAATGTGGAAACAAAAGGAGCAACAAATAATGACAAATATTTCATGTACTAAAAGTCTAAAACATGTGAAATAATATCTTACAAAAAAATATTTCATGTACTAAAAAGGATAACAAGTGCTTGTTCAAGGAAAAGGATATACTTATTAAAACAAATGCTGGAGGGAGAAACTATGGCTTATCGGCTTATCCTAAGTTCAGGGGGAGTGCTATTGATCTATAGTCAAAAAAGTGAAAGATATTTAAAGGTATTGTATTTGCTCAAGATATGTAAGGTAACAGAAATTTCAATCAAAACTTATTGTACTACTCTTGCTGGCATATCAACAATAGAGGTAAATGGCATCTTAACCGATGCTCATAATTACTCCTCAACAAGGCATTAATTTGTTAACTAGACCTTTGAACAATTAAATTGTTGTTTTCACACATAAATCTAGGCAAAAATGAAACCTATACACAAGACCAAAAACACCCCACACGACTTGCAACAAAACTAGATAAAGACCATCCCGCCCAACCATCACTTTACACATACCACATTATACTACTACCTCAGCACAATTATTAATTATAATTATTAATTTATCTTTTCAAAAAAAACATGTGAAATAATGGGAAATAAATATTGCATATCAACAAACTGTAGAACAATCCTAAACCAATCTTCAATCACCTAAAAAAAAAGAAAAGTAAAAGTAGCAACAGTCAATAGATAAAGCATATATAAAAGAGAAAACAAAAAAAAATTGAATCATAAAAAGAGAGAGAGAGAGAGAGAGAAACATACCTCAAAATAAGGTTTTTGGCAAAGAAATCAAAGAGAGGAACAAATCATTTAAGATCTAAAAGTATTGACCTCAAAAATGCAAAAGATAGATAAATAGAAAGAAAGAAACAAAAAGAAGGAAAAAGAAGAAAAGAGAAATGAGATGCAGACAAGCAGTGATGAACAATTGAAGATGGTAGCTAACTAGTAGTAAGCGAAACAAGAAAAGGGGAAAAATGGGGCGGTAGAGTGAGTCAGGCTAGTTGGCAAAGCAAAAAAAAAAACAGAGTTGGACCAGCTGGTGGACTAGGCCATTTAAAAGATTTTTTTTGGCCCATTGGGTTGACCCGGCCTAACCCGATAAGCCCAATATTCAAATAGGCTAACCCATCTAGGCTGGGTTTGAATATAGGCTTGAAAATTTTAAACCCAATCCATCCCATTTTTAATAAAAAATGAGCTGACCTAATGGGTCAAGCCCATTTTGACAAGTCTACTAGAGGAACAATCAACACCTATAATTTCTTAGAATTAATGAAGTCTCAACGGGCCTTATTGACCTTAATGAATGATTGATGACAATGTTAAAAACACCATACCTATGATTGTTTTCTTTAAAAAAAAAAGTGTATGTCAACATAAAATTCCTTGTAGAATGCTCATTAACAATTATGTAAAATTTAGCATTTTATTTTACCTTTGTTATGAAATAAATTTGAAAGAACAACTATAAAAAAATATAAAAATAAGTATTTAAAGGAAAAAAAGTATTTAAAGGGAGTAAGAAGATCTTATTCAAATATGTATTTTCAAATAAAGTTACAAGGCCTATTTATAAGCTAATAACCCCTTATCTAGATTGAATTTACAAGATAGAGATAATACTAAGGGATTGGATGGATGTATTAAATCCAAAGGTTGATCAAATTTAATTTACATCAAAACCTAAATATAGATAACATAAATGGATATTCATAAAAATATTCATAACACTCCTCCTTCAATATCCATTGTATTAAGAATATGCCTTGTTAAATCCTTATAAAGAAAAAACCTCATGAGAAAAAAATCCAAATGAAGGAAAAAAAATGCATAATCTTTTCAAGAATATGCTTTTAAAATACTGCTTCATTAAAAACCCTATCAAGAAAAACCCAATGAGAAAAACCTTGCTAAAGGGAAAAAGTACAATGCGTATTTTGCTCCCCTAATAACTGAATTATAGAGATCTTTAAAATGATACATTTTAATTTTTTATACTAACTTTTTAAATGTTGCAGTAAAAAGGGTTTTGGTGAACAAATCTGTTAGATTGTCATTTAACTAAATTTATTGAACAATAATTTGACCGTTTTCTTAGAGATCATGAGTGAAAAAAAAAATTTGGCGAACTATGTATTATCCTATCGCCTTTAATGTATTCTTTCTTTCACTGTACTATGCAAGCAGTTTTATTCTCATATAACATTGTTGGAATTTCTTTCTTAGTTGATAAGCCACACATTTCTTGAATATGTTAAGTTACAGATCTTAACAAAATACATTTATGACTTGCCTCATGAGTTGCTAAAATTTGTGCATGGTTAGAAGAAGTAGCAACTATAGTTTATTTATAAAATGTCATGAAATAGTCGTATCTCCATATGTGAACAAGTAACCTATTTAAGATTAAGCTTTGTGTGGATCAGATAAATATCTTACATCTGCATAACCAATTAAATTTTATTTTAATGCATTTGAATAATATAAGCCTATATCTATTGTTTCTCAGAGATATTGAAGTATATGTTTAATTTTATTTCAATATCTTGGAGTTAAAGAAGGACTATATCTTGCTAATAAATTCACAATAATTAATATATTAAATCATGTATTGCTAGAAAGATACATTAGTACTCCAATTTCAATAAGATAGGGTATTTCAAGACCAAAAAGTTCTTTATTATCCTCACGAGGTCGAAAAAGGTATTTTTTCACATCTCATGACCTTACAACCATTAGTGAACTCAATGGATATGCTTTCTCCATATAAAATTGTTTTAGCACTTTTTCCATATAATTAGATTGATAGACAAAAATTTTATTTGTCAAGTATTCAATCTAAAGATCCAAATAAAACTTTATTTTTCCAATGTCATTCATCTCAAATTCTTTGTTTAAGTCATCCACAGCTTTTGATAACTCTTCAATAGTTTCAATAATATTCAAGTCATCAACATAAATAGCAATTATTACAAATTCAAATCTGAATCTTTTTATAAAAACACATGGTCATATAGGATCATTTTTATAGCTTTCTTTCAACAAATATTCATTAAGACGATTATACCATATGTGTCTAGATTACTTTAATACATATAAAGATTTATTTAATTCGATCAAATAAATCTCCCGACAATTCAAATTTTGTACTTCAAGTAATTTAAATTTTTAAGGTTTTTTACATAGATATCGATATCAAATGAGCCATATAAATAGGATACAACTACATTCATTAGATGCATTTCAATCTTCTCATTTATTGTTAGACTAGTTAATATAAAATTGTAATTGCATCCGCCATAAAGAATATATCACTTCATATTTAATACTAGATCTTTGTATCAAACCTTGTGCGATAAGCCATGCTTTATAGCTCATAATCTCAAGTTTCTCATTTCATATTCACACAAATACCCATTTATATTTCATTGGTTTAACACTATTTGGTGTATGGACTACACGGTCAAAAACTTCACATTTTGCAAGTGAAATCATTATCAACTGGTTATAAATAAGAAAATAACACTTATATTTTAAAAAAGAAAGGAAAAAAAAAGCAATGATCATAGATCCATAGAAAGAGAGTCAGAACCTTACTATGAAGCCTTTTATTTATCTTTAAAGTAGATTAAAAAAAAACAGTTATTTACTTGTTGACCAAGGGAAGGTAAATGATATAATTTTCTCATGAAAGCAAAAAGCTTTTCCGCAAAACCTCTATCTTTTCACTCCATTTATCAATCTCCATACCAAAACCATTTCCTGTTCCCATCCACAGTAGATAAACAATGGCTCTTCTACCCCTCTTAGACCCACCTGAGCTCGGCCACCTAACCCCACCAAAGCCACAAGCCCAAACCACCACCGGTTCAAGCAACCCCTTCATAGATCTCATGGTGGTTAGCTTCAACTAAGCAAATAGCTTGCCTTCCATGGGCTTCACTGAAAATAGGTCAACCACTTTTCTTTCCTCAAGCAACCCTTGCCTCGACTTGTTTTTCCATGTGGTCCCTAACACCCCACCTAAATCTCTCAAAGAGAGGCTCTCTCTAGCTTGGGCCCACAACCTGTTAAGCACTCTTAAACTCATCTATAACCTATGCAGCACACGTGGCACTGTGAAATCTGAAAAGGAAGGGTTTTACACTGTAGCGTTTTGGCTGCCAAGCACCATCCCAAAACCTTTGCTTGCAACATGGATTCATTTGCTGATTTCGGCTATTTCAAGGATCTCCCTGAGATCCTTTACCGTATACTTGAAGGTTCCGATATTAGGAAGATTCAAAAGGAAGAGTGGAACTAGAGAAAATTCAATACAGAGAAAAAAACAGAGGGGCAAAAATCCAATGTACTTGAAGAAATTAAAATGTTAAATGTTGTTGAAAAGGCTAAAATTGAGAAGGAAAATGCAAGTGCTTTAAGGAAAGAGAAGAAGATTGCTATGGCCAAAAAAGCTCTCGAGAGATACTCTCGTGACTCGGATTTTAGATTCCTATGCGAGCATGTCTCTGATCTTTTTACCTAGTGTCTTAAAGTTAATATAAAGTCGATGAAATCTAGTCGATCAAGGAAGGTTGGCCTTGCTGTTAAGTGGTGCCTTTCCATTGACTCTTCTTTTGATAAATTTACTTTGCTTTGTGAAAGTATTGCCAAAAAGATGTTCCCTCATGAGAACTACCCCGAATATGAAGGCATCAAGGAAGTGCTTTATGCTTACAGAGCTTGTGATTGATTAAGGATAGAAATGCTGGTGCCACTTCGTAAAGTTTTGGAATTGCCAAAGGTGTATATTGGTGCAAACAAATGGGATTCAATTCCCTAAAACAAAGTAGCCTCTGTTGGTGCAAATATGGTTTAGATGAAATTTAAAGAACCAGTAAAATTGACTTCAAGACGAGCCTTTCAATAACGTTATCTTTAAGACTTATTTCACCCTTACCACTCGATATGCAAAAGGAAATAATGCGAATAGCCTTAGTGATACAATGAAGCCAGCATCTAACTTGGTCTTGTACTTTTCGAGAGTAAACCACTAGATACACTCAAGGGTTTGCAAAATTGTTCGGCCTTATAGCCTACTTTCTGCAGCAAATAGATTATAAGGAATTTAAAGACTTTTGCAGTTGATGGGAGCTTAAGTGTTTATGTTAATAGAACACAACACTTTCCTTACTCTTAATTTTTCTGCTCTTATTTTGTTTTTGATTTGATGTATCAAAATAGTTGTCAACAAGCGTTTTATATAGGCTTATAAGTATCTCTTCTTCAAGGACACAACTTTTTCATTAAGGCATCACTTTGTCTAAAAAATATCTTTACATTTTACAAGACGTAACTTTTGGATAAAGGTATTGTTTCAATAATAATCTTATGAAAAGATAACTATTCATTCTATAAAACATAATCTTAAGTTATAATTTAAAATAAATAACTTTTCATATTTAAACTTTTGAGCTATGGTACTTTTTCAATTTTGTCATAACCTTTAGATATCATTTTACCAATAGATATAACTATTTACATAAAAATATACTTACAATCTAATATTTCTATTATGTCACTTTATGTTATATAACTTTTGAACTAAAATAACTTTACAAAGAAAAAGCTATATGGCTATGACGTTTTACAAGGAAAAATTTTTAAAGCATGATAAGCAGCGGTTTTCTAAGTATTTGGAGGATGTGAAGGCTGGGAAATCCACAATTACCGCTGGTGCATTGCTTCCTCATGAAATAATCGCCTCGTTGGATGATAACGATGGTGGAGATGTTCCAGAGCTTCATTGGCAAAGAATGGTTAATGATTTACTACAAAAGGGAAAGCTGAGAAACTGCATGGCGGTTTGCGACGTTTCTGGTAGCATGAGTGTGATACAAATGGAGGTTTCTGTTGCCTTGGGAGTATTGGTCTCAGATCTAACCGAGGAGCCATGAAAAGGGAAGCTTATTACTTTCAGCAAAAATCCTAAACTTCAAAAAGTTGAAGGTCAAAATTTGAAGGAAAAAACTCGTTTCGTGAGGCGCATGGCGTGGGGCTTGAACACTGATTTTCCACAAGTGTTTGATCTTATCTTGAAGGCTGCTGTCCAAGGCCAACTGAAGCCAGGACAAATGATTAAAAGGTTGTTTGTGTTAAGTGACATGGAGTTTGATTAAGCATCAGCATCTCCCTGGCAGACTGACTGTCAAGTTATAGTGACGAAGTTTACTGAGAAAGGGTATGGCGACGCGATTCCACAAATTGTCTTTTGGAATTTGAGAGATTCGAGGGCTACACCAGTTCCTGGGAGTCAAAATGGGGTGGCTTTGGTTAGTGGGGTTTTCAAAGAATTTGATAAAGATGTTCTTGGATGAAGATGGAGATATAACCCCTGAGCTGTCATGGAAGCTGCTATTTTGGGTGAGGAGCATCAGAAATTGGTCGTTCTTGATTGAATACATTTTTTGTAATTGGGATGCTTACATAGTAGTTCTGAATTCTGACAATGATGAAAAAGTTGCTCTGTTATTTTTTGTTGGAGCTCAGCTTAATCTTTTGCATGTCTTGGGACGTCGTTTATAATTAGTAATTAGTGTCCTACTTGAAAGTACTGACTGGCATGCCCAATAATTCTTGTTTGCTGTTGTCCTTGGTTGAATTCTGGCATCAACATATCTTTCTAGTCTATTCTCTGTTTACTAGTACTTTATACTTGACTGGGCTGATGTTGATAACAGATTCATGTCGTTTTGTTTAAGAGCTTGTGCAGCCTTAATCATTCTAGGAATGCGAAAGTCAAATATGACTATATGAGTGAGTTTAATTTTAATTTCTGACAAGGTTTGGTGTTGCCTTTGGTAGTTGCTAACCAGATGAATGTTCAAGTTTAATATTGATAATTAAAAACCTCGAGACTTGTTTCTCAAAACATTAACAGCAGCTGTCCAGGTTTCAGCGCCTGTGCCTACCGATCTTTTTGAGATACCTGAAACATGAACCATTTGGGATTTGGTAGATCAGTAATTTTGTGTCCTCTGACATGCATGCTATTGAGGGATCTGGGTACTTTTATCAGTTTTGTCTTCATTTTCAATACCTGAAACTTTTGTAGATTTTTATCTTCCTTCTGGTAATTATCTTTCTGATTGTCTTTCTGGTCATTGGAATCTTCTGTGAATGATTGTGTTGATGTATAGGGGCTCTTTTTTTGTTTTGTCCCTAGTTTACCTCTGTTGTGTTTGGCTAAGATTATGCCAACCTTACCACTGGTTGGGGGATGTAAATGTGTTGCATTTGGGGCATCCAAAGGTTTCTAGGATCTGCAGATTGTTTCTTGATGTCCTCTGCAGATGGTTTTTGGTGGTTGGAGGCTGATCTCCTCCTGGTTGTGTTGATATGATTTATCATGAAGTGAATGAAGCCCAGCTTTTCAAAAAAAGAAACTATATCTTCCTTCTGCCAAAATGAATTGATGGTTACAATTCCAAAACCTTGTTCTCCAAACATTTACAATTGGCAGACTCAGAGCCATGGGCCTCACCAGGCTTGAGAGCTTGTGATTCACTAATCATGTCGTGGGATACCTCGTATACTAATTGGAAATTTCACATTAAGGACCAAATTACTTGGGTTCTTGCATATCCATAACTTCCTATTCCTATTCCTTGATACTAATTACTGATGTTTAATGATGTCTTAGCTTAGATTCCTCGGATTAAAACCGTTGAAAATTTAATCAAATACGATCTCGTATTATTTGCCTAGTATTTGGAAAATTGAGTAGTTTTTCTTAAGTTAGTACAAACACCGTTTTTCATATAAGAAGAGAGTACCAGAGGAACAATCCGCACCTACAACTCCTTAGAATCAGTGAAGTCTCCACGGTCCAGATTGACTTTGATGAATCAGTGATGACAATGTCAAGCTCGGACTTTTTAATTTGGTTGGGCAATAATAGTGAATTAGAAAAGTATTATGCTCATATGCCGTTATCCTTTGCCTCTAAATGGTAAGTTCTTTTTTTTTAATTGTGAAAACACATATTATTCATTGTCTCTCGTGTTTGAACATTATTCTTGATTTCTTTTTTTTTTTCTTTTGAAATAATCCAAGTATTTCCCTCAATATTAACCAAATGGAATAGAAAAGGTTTAATACTTGAAAAAATTCTTAAACTAGTTAAAATAAATTTAAATAAACTTTTATTATTCTATTGCGTTCAATCAAATTATACATTTTTATTTTTATCAAATAAATATTTATAATCAATAATTAATTAATTATTATTAATTATAATATTATTTTATATTTTATATTTACGTAATTTGAAATAAAAAATTACTTTTTGATGTAGCATGTCAAATAACATTGACCAAAAATTTCAACCAAAAAAAAAACTCTTTTTTCATCATCTTTTTCTTAATCGAAATAATTTGTTCAAAATCTATTCTCATTTTTCTAAATTTAAAAATATGTTAATATTTTAAATATATTTTAAAAATTAAAGTTAAATAAAAAATAATCTTTGTTCCAGTTGTCCAAATCCCAACTTCAATCAAACCAAGCTCATTTACCTTCCATCCCTAATATTTGCTAGAGATATCAAGTTATATGGGACAAGAATGATAATGCCCATTTTAGTAAAAGCTGGATCAAAGGTTAAACTCTTCTTCTTCTTCTTTTTTGCTTTTTCCATTTTTAGGTGTCCGAATTTGTTGAATGCTAAAGCAAAAATGTTGTCGATGATAAATGAGCCATGTGTCTTAATATCTATCTGAAACCGAAAGCAATAATTTTCTATCGTTTTCTAAACCGGGATGACAAAATCACGCTTACCATGATGTACACATTTTGGGTTACTGTTAACAATGAAGTGATTTAATATGAATATGATGTTTTCCATTAATACTCATGATGGCAAGCAAGGAGCACTCAGCTTTTGATGCTTGACCACACATACTACATGGATAGAAGATCATATGCACATGCTATTTATGATTTATTTTATGTCACCTCACGTCCATCATTTCACGAAAATCACAAGCTATTGTTTATAAAATTGGTTTTGTGAATATTAGACAAATGTGTTGTACTTGTCAAAATAGAGCTGACTCATTAAATCGGTTTATTTTTTATTGAAAGTGGAATTAGGTTGGATTGGAAAATTTAGGTTCAAATTAGAATCAGATTTAAATGAGTCAGTTTATTTGATCAGTGGACTTTCTCAAGTTAGGATGGATCAAAAAAAATTAATTAATTTAGTTAATTTAATAATTTTATATATTTAATTATATAAAATTAATAATTTAATTATTAATGGTATTGCTTATATTTATATTTCAATGTCTTTAATCTTTACTTACTAAATTAATAATTTTAGTTAAGATTAAAACTCATTATCTCTTTTTTTATGGTAATAAGTATTAAATGATAAATTAACAATGATTCGGATTTTGAGACATCATTACTGTTTAAAAAATATTCAAATGTTTTGCTTGAAGATGAATTGAAGATGAAGATTGAAAAAGACATAAATGAGTTTTGAAGTTTCTATTTATTTAGTATATACTTATGTTTATGGGATGATAGTTTGTGTTAAAGATTGAAAGTTTACTTTTATTTGATATAATTTATTAACTTATTTATATTTAATATAATTTATTTATTTGTAACATATTTTTATTGTTCAATTTATAGATTAGATCGTGGAATAATTTTATTGATAGAGAGATTGTAAAGTAAAATTGTAAAAATAATTTTTTTTTGAAAAAAAAAATGAAATGACCCAACCCTTCCCATGGGCTAATAAGGGATGGGTTGAGCTAGGGTTTTCATGAGATGAGCTAACCAAGCCTAACTCATATGTTTTCAATCCATAAGAGTTTGGGTCGGGTTGAGTTGGGCCAGCCCATTATGACTCCTCTAGTTATCACGTTAGTCTTATACACTAACTTCAATTTGAGTTTTCAACATTTTAAATAAATTCTAAATATTTTTTTATTTTTTATATACATTTGAGTTTTCAATATTTTAAATAAATTTTGAATTTTTTTATTTATATCTACCCTTGACTTTTAATTCAATTTGAGTTTTCAATTATTTAAATAAATTCATATATTTTTTATTTATATCCACATTTGACTTCTAATTTGAATTTGAATTTTTAATATTTTAAATAAATTCCAAATATTTTTCATTTGTTAAAAACAGCATACCAAGAAAAAAAACTCATCGGAATTTGAATTTGAAAGGCTCGTATCATTTTCCATGTGAGAACTGAAAAAAACATATCACATTGATTTGCCCTTTCCCTTATTCCAAAGAGAAAGTGCCATAAAGGTGAAGCAGTATGCTTCAAGTGAAGCAGAGATTGCGTAAAGTCCCTTTCGGTGTACATGGGCATCACTTGATCCAAAAGATTAAGGTGAATAAAATCAAATCAGATTAATTATTTATTTAAATTAAATATAATTTAAGTAAAATAATTTGATCTAATTGATCTATTAAATCAATTAATCTTAAATATTAAGTCTGTTTGATTTTTTGGTCAGCTCTTGGTTTTAAATTTGTAGATTAATCCACCTAAAAATTCAAATTAATTTTTTTATATATTTGTGTATATATATTAAAATATATAATATTTTTTATATATGTTTGGAAGAATTGATAGTAAACTTAATTAACAATATATTTAAAATATATTAGTTTATTATATATACATATAAAAATTATAATCATAGTAATTTAATTTTAGTTATATTTATTTATTTATAAATATGTATTAATATGAAATTACAAGTTATGTATTTTAAATGATATAACTTATATGTTAATATTATAATACATGATAGTAAATATTATATTTATTAATATGTTATAATTATTACACTTTAGTAACGTTTCATAATATAAAATGTTATGAATATATATAATTACGTAAACATTATATATATTTAATTTATACATAAGTATTACTATGACTGAAAATAAATTTTATTTATATGATTACATTTAATAATGTTATTAATTATCACCTTAGCTTTTATAACATATTATTTATAATTAGTTATTATTTATACCAATTTTGATATAAAACATTTTATCATATAAGTTATGTTATTAATTTCATAGATACATAATAAAGTAATATATTATATATACATATATTTAATTTACACATAAGTATTACTGTAACTTATAATAGACTTTATTTATATGATTCACTTAATAATTTTATTAGTTATCGTCTTAATTTTTATAACATTATTATTTATAATTAGTTATTATTTATACAAACTTTGATTTAAAAATTAAAATATTATAACATATAAATTATGTCATTAATTCATATATATAATAAAGTAATATTATATATATATACGTAATTTGTACATAATTTGTATATTTTATAATTATGGATGAAGTTTATAAGTTTTAATATTATAATTTATAAACA